CTCCTCCTTCTCCTCCTTCTCCTCCTCCTCCTCCTCCTTCTCCTTTTGTGCTCTATTCTGAATTTTCCAGTATGTCGTGTATTTCATTTGTAATAATGTCCATTCAGAAGTATTTTTTGTATTCTTTCTTTTTTTTTAAACTTTTTTTTTAGTTTGTTTATTTTGAGAGAGCACAGCATGGGAGGGGTAGAGAGAAGTAGAGACAGAATCCCAAGCAGGCTCTCTGCTGAAAGCATGAGCCTGATGCAGGGCTTCAACTCACAAACCTTGAGATCATGACCTGAGCTGAGATCAAGAGTCAGATGCTTAACTGCCTGAGCCACCCAGGCACCCCTCAACTTATCTGGCATTTAAAAATTTTTTTCTTTAATGTTTATTTATTTTTGAGAAACAGGGAGAGACAGAGCATGAGCGGGGGAGGGGCAGAGAGAGAGAGGGAGACACAGAATCCGAAGCAGGCTCCAGGTTCTGATCTGTCAGCACAGAGCCCAACATGGGGCTCAAACCCATCAACCGGGAAATCATGACCTGAGCCCACGTCGGTCACTTAACTGAGCCACACATGCATCCCTTATCTGTCATTTTAATAGAGAGCACTTAGTCAGGGAACCTGGGGACTCAGGTCATGGGCTATGGCCTCTTTGATTTTAGTCTGGTTATATGGTCTTTCTGAGCTTTGGTTTCCTCACTTGTGTAACTAAGAATTGAGTTTTTTCTCTAAGGTTCTTTCTCAGAATCAGGCATGGTCTAGGATATCTTTCTTTTTGGATCATATAGACTACTATAAATAGTTAGCTTCATCTGTTTCTATCTCTTGAACCCTGTCGTCCTACTCCCCCACAGAGAAGCTCCTTATGATCCCACAACCCAGACATTTGTGTCCATTCATGCTGAAACATTGACTTTGGACTATTTTCCATATTTTTAGAAGTCCAGTGCCCTATCCATTGTACCATAAAGCCACCTTTTTCTTCCATATTTCTAAATAGTCTCTAAAATCCCTCGTGTTACTTTTAGTTCTGTAGATATATAATAGCTTTTGATTAATCTTATAGTAGAGTTATCGCTCCTTCTGAATTCATTAGAGAACCAGGGAATAGTCGTAATAGTGCCTAAATATTATCATCTCCCCTTATTAATTCATATACCTTCAAATCAGACAGGATGGTTGGATTAATGTCAACCAGTTTCCCACTTGTCCCACAGAATTAGCCAAGCTTGTTCGATTCGTAGAGCTATTTCTGAACCTGAAACTGGGACAAAAAGCTAATTCACTGGGTATTACAGTTGGTATTGAGATAGGTATTCTCCAACCAGAAGAATGGGGCAAAACAAAAGGGATGACATTTCAGGGAGTTATTTTTTGGTTATATGAGGACAGGAGCCTTATCTGATTCACTCTGTCCCTAGTACTCAGGAGAACATCTCACCATAGTAGGCCTTCCATAAAAATTTGTTGAATGAGTGAATAAATCAAATTACAATTCCTTAAGTACAGAGTAGAAGAGCTTACTTAACTTTTAGATTTAACGTCTTAGAGGGCATGTGGGTGGAGAACCAATATGGTGGAGTGCCTGAAATTGAGTTAAATAAAAGAACATGGATTTACCTGGAATGTAACTTAGTAAGGGTACAGTGTTCCTTTATTTAATTCTTAAGTACAGCACTTAGACTAATGGAAAGATGTGACAGTTTTGTCAAGTATCCTATTCTTGGAATCTAGGGCTGGTCACATAGGGCTTCGATGACCATTTGTCAGAAATGTCAGAGAAGGGATTCCTGAAAGAATAATAGGTAATTTGACTTACTGATCTAAAAGGTCCATGTGAGTTCATCGTTTTGTGAGTTTTACTTCAAAGGGAGGTTGGACGTAGCATGTGGACTATCTCACCAAAAATAATGAAGTGGATGATGAAGTTTTCAGTCTTTGCTACAGAGATTGAATTTATGGAGCCTTTTCTGACAATGTTAACATTTTCAGGAATATCAAAATACAGACATAGTTTTGTCTTCTTATTGATGAGTCCAGTGATAGGGAGCACAGAAAAGTGATAGTGGATAGAGGAAAGCCAGATCTGAGGGAAATGAGAAAAGAAGGAAGCGTTAGAATATCATTGTTAATTGCTTGGGTTTAGAATATCAACAGGTGTCCTCCAGGTGCCTCAGTAACCCCTGATAGAGTATTTTCTTTATTAATGTCACACCAGTGAGAATATAGCAGCAGTCTGGAGGTTTATGAATGCATAAAAAGAACTTCCTAGCACACCTCAGTAGCCTCTGAGTACACGTAGGTCTGCATGATGAAATTATCTTTCCGGTGTTGAATCTGAGTCTTCAAAAAATATTAAATCATTTCTTCAGCAAAGTTGGAGAGTTTAAAAGATGACTGTAAACATGTTTTGTTGTCTCCCCAAATTAGCAGTTTATTGAGGGGGGCTTGCACACAAACAATTATATTACAGCTTGATACATTTTTAAAAGACTTTGACATGTGTAATATGCTCTGGGAACATTCTGCATTGGGCAATCAGTAAAAAAAGGAGACTAGATCTTGGAGGATAAGCTTAGAAGGATAGGAAGTGGAGGTGGTCGGTACATAGCAACAGTACAGAGACAAATACCTTCACACAGGGACTTGGCAGTAAGGTTGCTTTGTAGTAAGTAAGCTTGAAAGTCATCACGTTTTGTTCAGAGCCTGAGTGTTAATTTTTCAGAAAGCCTCTTAGATGAAAGCAAGACTGTGAAGATATCAGTGTATCTAAAGAGATGCAGTATCAATCAGGCGGGAGAGAAACTGAATGGTAGGAGGGCAGAAACAACGTAAACAAAGGAGAAAGTTAGGGAGATGTACTTCAGCAGTCTGCATCCAAACACCACCCAGGAGAATGGAACACTCGTTTTTGTGGTTTGTACATCTCTGATGTGTAGATGGACACGCCACGCTGCCATTAACGTGATACCATTTGTGAATTGTTTCATAAAACAAACTCCCCTCGCTATAATTTCCTATTAATTAAGCAACATTCTGATTATAATTTGCCTTCCCATCCAGATTGGTCTGCAGGGAGAACATATACTGGTTATGCTGACACGAACATTCTGATCTGCATGGCAGTTATGGTTCTTATTGTAAGCTGATGTAGTTAATTGAGTGGCATTCTAGTTTGTACATTAGTCTCTCGTGAGCTTAATGTTCCTCTATTGCTGAAAGATGGCTCCACTCAGAGTACCAAAAAGAAAAGAAAATCCAGTCCCTAAGTTTACAAAGCTGAGCTACAGACCAGGAGGATGTAGTCATCAGGATAAATGCCGCCTCTGAGCCACTGGCCCCATTTTCAAATAGCACAGCTTCAGGCAGAGTCGTACACATCACATGGGGGTGGGGAGACGTACACAGGCATGTTGGAGAAGCTGCAAGTAGTTGCAGTCAGAGAGAGTGGGAAGGAGGGAGGTGATGCTGGACAGAAGGGCAGAAGACAGGTTGTGCGAGGACTCTCTTCTTGTGGGCAGAGGGTTTTATTTATTTTGCAAAAGTAATTTGGATTGAAAGGAAATGTTGGGTGATTCTGCTAAAATGCTATCTTTTCCTCTTGTGATGAATTTTCATTGAGCACATCTCTTTGTTCTTGTAACTTCAAGCTGGATTTTTTGGCCACATCATCTCCTTGCTTATGTTGTATTTGCTAGGGTAGGTAAAGATGATGAGGTCGCTGTGTAATGAGTGAAAGCAAAGCTGGCCAGCCACCATGACTTTTTGGGCCACTGTTTACACTACATTCTAGTGATTTTGTGACCTTCCTTCAGGTGTGTGCAACACCACTTGAATTTTTCTAGTAATGAAATTGTGAAGCCGTAATGATTGGGACTTGCTTTGCCTAGAGGGGGCCCCCAAGTCTTTGTAATCTCCTAGATGATGCTTAGAAATCTCTTCTCATTAAATATTTTTGCTTACTTTTGAGAAGTACCTCTGTCTTGCTTTGATCAAATTTACATGACTCAAAGCATTTATGAAGTATGACTGTATTTGAAAACTTAGCCTTTTTAAAATCTTTGTTTTGATGAGATAAGGTAGTAACATGTTTTTTTTTTTTTCTGAAATGAAGATACTAACAATCTTATTTTATATTTTACTTTTCTAGCGTTTTTCTAATATTTACTGAAAGCTCCAAGTCCGTTTGTGGTGTCAGCTGTTACTCTCCAATCTGTTAATGGCATTATGTTACTAAAATATGAAGGATTTCTTTAAACTTCTTTTTCTTTTGGTTACAGAATTACTTTAATTTTCTTTGCCAAGTATCCACTCACCCAGTTTCCTCAATGCCCTTCTTCTGAATTCTCTGTAACTTGGCCTCAGCTGATGAGTAGGCAAAATGTTTTTAGTAAAGAGACTGACAGAGTCAGATGTGGTTCCTTACACACTCCTTTGAGTTGGCTACACAGGTATTGCAAGCGTTTCTTGCCATTACTTAATTCTGTTTTTATTTCTTATCCATGTTTTAGGAAAAGCATATAAGCAATGAAGAAGAGTACTTAAGGAGGATGGAAGAGGCCAGATTGCAGCTCAAGGATCAACTTCTTTGCCTGGAGACTGAACAGGAATCCATTCTTGGTGTCATAGGAAAAGAAATTGATGCAGCTTGTAAAACCTTCTCCAGGGACTCTATGGAGAAATTGAAAGTAATTATGAGTTCTCATTGTGCCTTTCAGTTAGTTTCCTAATATATAATTATAATAAGATTTTAATGCATGGTTACATGGTAGTCACATTTTTATTCTGGAACGTTTTATGAAACAAAATAACATCTTGCATTTTTTAAAATGAGATACCGTATCTATTGCACAGTTGTGGGAGAGAACGTGTATCATTATTTCATTGAATTGCCTCTATCTCACTCTGGAAAAGAAAATGTCTTATGAGAGAGGCAGCAGTTCTGACTAAAAAAATATCCTTGGAGTCAAGAGGCCTGGGTTGTCGTTATCAGGCCATTTTTGTTGTTGCTAGTGTATTAATGGCTAATATCTATTGAGGACTAGTTACATTACAGGTACTATGGTAGCTACGTATGTGCATTCTCTCCCTTAACCCCTAAAGCCACCCTTTCCTTTAGGTACTCTGATTAAATCAATTTTAGGTCTGAGAAAGCAAGGCTTGGAGAGGTTAAGTAACTTGGCCCTCGTCATATATCCAGTTAAATGCTAGAACCAGAACTTTCAACCTTGGGAGTCTAACTCTGGAGCTTAAACAAGTAACCATGATGCTATTTGCATTCCTTTTTTAAACAAATTATACTTAAGTTAGTTTTTCTGTCTTTAAAATGGAATATTGCTATTCAGTTTATAGTGCTAGGGAAATGATGAATAAAAACAGAATTAATCATGTATGTTCTTAATTCCTTGAAGATAAGCACCTCTTTGTACAGTGCTATATTGTGTTGTGTTCCTTTTTTTTTTTTTTTTTTTTTTTTTTTTTTTTTTTTTTTTTTTTTTTTTTTTTTAAACGTTTGTTTGTTTTTGAGAGACAGAGACAGAGTACAAGCAGGGGAGGGGGAGAGAGAGAGGGAGACACAGCATCTGAAGCAGGCTCCAGGCTCTGAGCTGATAGCACAGAGCCTGACAGGGGGCTTGAACCGATGAACTGTAAGATCATGACCTGAGCCAAAGACGGATAGTGAGCCACCCAGGCACCCTGTGTTGTGTTCCTTTGATGCAGTAGGGCCATAACACGTATCATGTAACCATCGTTTTCCCTGTATTTATGTCATGAGGTGATATGGTGGGACTCAAATTATAGTGTTATGCCTAATATTTAAAAACTGTTTTTCAGATGATTCTTCTTTTTTATTTTGTCATCTTTCCTCATATAAAATGATCTTCCCTTTTTGTATTGCTTTCTCCCCCTTTTTCCTGTTCTTATCCCTTTTTCTTCCTTCCTTCCTTCCTTCCTTCCTTCCTTTCTTTCGTTCGTTCGTTCTTTCTTTCTTTCTTTCTTTCTTTCTTTCTTTCTTTCTTTCTTTCTTTCTTCTTTTCCCTAAAGTGGTGTTCTAAAGAAAAGAAAACTATAATTCTACTCTTACAGTGGAAGGTATCTTAGGATTCAACTTCAACAGAAATTTTTCAATGGATAGATTTTGGTGGAGTTGATAGAATTTCTACAGTATGTATTTCTAGTTACATTCAACAAAAAGCTCAGATGTCAGTTTGAGAGGACTATGAGCCAAATATGAGAAGTAATTGGCTTTAGAGGAAAAACTGTTTGAGTTTTGTTACAGGGCCTGTCATAATGCTGGTGTATTCTTTTTCCTATCTAATGCTGCTTTTTTTATTTAAGACTTGTTACATTTAAAAATATTTAAAAGATGTATGGCCTTAAGATTCTAATTTTATCTAAAAGGAGCACATATTAATAGTGAAATATTGAGATGCCTGGTTGGCTAGGCCTGTTGAGTGTCTGACTTCAGCTCAGGTCATAGTCTTGGGGTTCGTGAGTTCAAGCCCCACATCGGACTGTCTGCTGTCAGCACAGAACCCACTTTGGATCCTTTGTCCCCCTCTCTGTCCCTCTCCCGCTCACTCTCTCTCAAAAATAAATAAATATTTATTAAAAAGTTAAAAAATAGTGAAATATTTATTCTATATATATTTTTTTCCAACGTTTATTTATTTTTGGGACAGAGAGAGACAGAGCATGAACGGGGGAGGGGCAGAGAGAGAGGGAGACACAGAATCGGAAACAGGCTCCAGGCTCTGAGCCATCAGCCCAGAGCCTGACGCGGGGCTCGAACTCACGGACCGCGAGATCGTGACCTGGCTGAAGTCGGACGCTTAACCGACTGCGCCACCCAGGCGCCCCATCAATATTTAAGTATTTGTGTCAAGACAGCTTATTTTCAATCAAAGATGTAGAAATGGAATCATTTGGATCATGCTATAAGATATATGAACCTTGTTATGGGCAATTACAGCCTAAAACATAGTGAGAAGATAGCAGATTGCTTAAATATTTTCTTATTTCTTTTTGAGGCACAAATGATCCTTCTAACATATTCCAAAAAGCACCCTGTTCTTTAATAGGAAAGCAGTGACTGTGGTAATGGATCTTTACACTTTGTCCCTAGAGAAAGACTAATTCAATCCAAGTGATGGGTAGAAAGTAAATCTAAAAGAATGGAAATTATATTAAGTTTTATTTATTTTGTTTTTTTTTTTTTTAAGAGCACAGTTTTTTTCATTGTGGGTCTCTTTCCATTAATAATTTCTGTTGTTACTGTCCTATAAACTTGGGGGAAAAATGAATACCCAAGAATATAACATTTGCTCTCCTCAAATAAACTACCCAAGGTGTTGTTAAAATAAAATTCTTTGCCTTACAGTTCAGAGATCTAAGGGACAGTGGTGGTCCTTATAAAATGTTTTAAAAAATGGAATAATTCCAATTATTCTTTGTCATTTGTTTTTGAAATATTGTGGATCAAATTTTTAAGCCATTTTATGTAGTGACAGCTATGATATGAATTGGATAATAGATATGTAACAAATGAGCCTGAGAAAAGTACTTGGGAGTGTTGGTATTATTTCTAATTACCTTTTTCTAGCCACCCTATTTATTACTTATCCCACTTTAGTAAATGCATATAATATTAGAAAACTTAAGGACGGACACTTAATAAGCCACCACTGTTATAAAACAATTAGGAAATTGTTTGAATTTGAGTTAGGCATTGCCTGAATTAAAGTTACATCATTTTCACAAACCAATCGTCGATGATTGAAGAGCTTTTCTTATAACACTTATTCTGAGTATGCACTCTTTGGAGAGCATAAAGAGGATAGGCTTTGGATCAAGACAGATGTAGGTTCAAATTACATCTCTCTAAATTGCTAATGTGTGACCTTGGACAACTTAGGTAATTTCTCTTTAAGAATTCATGTCCCATTTATAAGTTAGCTTATTTTGAGGATAAAGTAAAATAAGATATATGAGGTGCATATTATGGAGTGAAATATTTTGCACTTAGTAAATACTCAAATAATGCTAGCTGTCATTATTATGTGGTGCCCTTTTTGTCATATATTCATATATATTTGTATATTTATGTATATATTGCTTTTTTTTATTCATCTGTTTATGACAAATTGTTGTTGTAGTGTTCTTGTTACCATCGAACTGGAAGTCTATTTTCTGATGATGACATCTTTATATGCAGTTAGTAGTGATAATGATGTTCTCTGTGCCAGATACTGTGCCAGTCTCCTCATTTTATTTAATTTGTACCTTGACCTTATGAGGCAGTTTGCCTACTTTATAGATGATAACCTGCAGCTTAGAGAAATTAAGTCACATCACTTGTAAGTGGACAGGCTGTTTCTTAAACACTATATATAAATTTGTAAGAAATCACAAAATGAGAATATTATTTGTACTCCTGTCAAATTATTTTAAACTTTAATCTTTAGCACTAGATCTTAGGTCACTGAAGATTTAATTGAAACTGTGGCACAGATAAATGGAAAAGAATAATGAAAACATCATAATCAGTGAGAAATGGATGCTTGCAAATAGTAGAGTTCAAAGAGGAAGAAAACACCACAAGCTAGAACAGGCAGAATTTGACTGAAGGAAAGGCGGCCTGTGAGTTGGGTGAGATTTGGATGGTAAAAAAAGTGGAGGAGAGAAAAGTGGGAGCTAAGAATACAACATGTTTGTTTATGGCATATGGTCAGCATCATTATACATTCTTCATGTGTCTAAATGAATCACCTAATGATATTCCTTAGGGGAGTGATGTGCACACACATCAGGAAGTATGGAAGTATTTGAGAATAGGAATAGACATCTTGCAGAGGGATAGCATATTTTTACACAACATTTCTAGGATGGAGTCCTGTAAAAATATCATAGGTAGCACCTGTTTCAAAGCAAGTAGGAACTGAAAAAAAATTTGTGTTTAGAATCATAAAGTCATTGACAGCCTTTGAACATCATTTTATTAGTAATAAGGCAGAACCAGATGGCAATGGATTTTATAAATGAGTTGGTATGAAGGAAATCAAGGCAGCTGGTATACAGAACCTATTTATTGGAGGATTTTGTTACCATCATGAAATATAAAGCAACATTTGCACAAAATCATGTTGATTAGTTGCTGTCAATTCTACCCAACCATTAATGAGACAAAATGGCCCTCACAGTATAAAATTAAAGAAGGATAAAAGAGACAAAGAATTAAGTTTCCATGTAATTACATCTAACCAACTGTGAAATATATTATGTGGAACAAGACTGAGGAAAAGAAACAAACAAAAAAATGAAAAACTGGTTTGATTGAAGCTGCCTGACAGAAGTCCATGGAATCAGCCTCTAACGATTCTAGCAATGATAACGCTTGAGAGTTGATATGTGCCTCTATATTTGAGCCAAATATTTACTCTCAATGAGTACATACGTATATACACGTGTACATAAATGGACATAATAAGTGGTGGTTTGGAATTAGTTGAGTACTTGATAATGAACTTTCTTCTTTTTAAGCCTTTAAATTTAGGGATTAAACTTTTATGTGTTATGGTGAAGAATTTCATTTATGTAAGGTCATTTCAGAGAAAATTCTACTTCTAATAAACTATTTCCTTTTTCTGTAGGTTTTTTCATCTGGTCCTGATATTAATTATGACCCACATCGCTGGTTAGCAGAAAGCAAGGTAATTTGTTTTTAAATCCTAAAGTTATCATAGTATTTATGACCTTCAAGGTGTCCTGGTTGGGGTAACCATACCATTTTGTTATTGAACAGAGCATATGCAGCTGTAATACTTCAATGCTGGGGAAGACATCATTGTCATGAATTTAAGAAACTTCCATGTTTCTTTAGTTTAACATTTACAAATTAGCTTAACTGTATAGGTACAGAAGGAGAAAATAAAGGAAGGTAAAACTGTTGAAGTAGTAAAACTAGATTGTCAAAGAAGCAAATTCTTCTGCCTTTTCCTTGGGATAGGCAGTGTCTCTGGAAGTGTACGAAGGTCAGGGCTGCTATAACCAACCTTTCTTGCTTCATGGTTCTTTTGCATGATGATTTAAATTTAAAGGGTAGGTAAGCAAATCTAAATAAAATTGAACAATTTGCTAATTTTAGCAAAAAGCTTCTTCTGCACTATGGGATAATTACCTGCTATCTTCATCTATCAGATCAACTTGGAAATTCCTTGATTAAAATAAAGAAATTAGTGGCCACGTAAGATGTAGATGTCTTTTTCCAAGTGTCAATGCTCAAGGACTTGCATTCCTTCCCAGGCTAGTTTCTTTCAGCTTTAAGGTGCCTGGGTGGCTCCATTGGTTAATCGACCGACTAAGGCTCAGGTCATGATCTCATGGTTCAAGCCCTGCATTGGGCTCCATCTTGGCAGTGTGGAGCCTGCTTGGGATTCTCTCTCTCTCCGCCCTCCCTCTCTGCCCCTCCACTGCTCACGCTTTCTCTCTCTCTCTCTCTCTCTCAAAATAAATAAACAAACTTGGGGGAAAAAAATAAAGAAAACCAGCTGTACTTTAAACATGAACAATTGTGGTCCAATTTAGGATTTTATTATTTGAAAGAACTTTTAAGTTTGTGCAGTATCCTTATTTAAATATGTGAGAAAAGGGAGGTTTTAGAAAATGTACATGACTTTTCCGGTGCCATATAAAAAATGGGAACATGGACTGCATGCCATGTCAGACTCACAATTAATGTTCTCACCATTATGTGATTTGCTGTCTAAAGTCTTCAGTTAGCCAAGATTTATCAATTATGTGCTCTTTTGTGTATAGGCATGAGGGTTATCAGTGTCAGCAAGCCATGGAAATTAATAAAGAAAATGGAAATGTAAACAATTTAAAAAATCCTTAAGGTATGTTATATTTTTATAGAAATACACAAACATTAACAAATGCAAAAAGAGGAAGAACTGACTGTGATATCAGTACTAGAAGGATAGGGGGGTATGATGCCACCAGCATGTTATAGGTGGTTTCTGCATAAATGCAGTATTTAACTTGATCATACAAAAAATATATAGAAGTTCTCTAGTTGGCTAATTATAGGTAAAATAATGGTAAGAAGTTGAGAATACCTGAATAAACACAGATAATGCCTTGAACTTGGTGGCAAGGTATGGGTGGGAGTTGACAGAAAGACATGATTCACCTTTGAAGACCAGCTGTGCTTTAAGGAAACCTTTTCTTTTTTTTTTTAAGCATTCTTAATAAGAAATGAATAGCGTTATGATTGACCATTGAAATTTACCCAACCCGGTAAAATTTTCCTCCTTTTTTAAGTACAGTGATGCTGTTCATCCCTAACCGTTTTTGATAGAACCAAATGCAAACTTGTATTTATGCCACCTTCATAGTAAATTCAGAATATACATGTTTTGCTGGCTCAGAAATTTTGGGCTAGAAACTTCTGTTGTGCATTAATAAAGCATTTCTCATTTCTCTTGTTTCTTTTTCCCGATTCCTCAATTCTGACAACAAGAGCAATGTACTTGGAATTTTCTTTCAAGTTAAAATCTTTATCATTTCTGAACAGAAAGCTTTCACTGCTGTTGTTCAGTTAAATTATGAGAGCCAGAGATGACTCTTAATCATAGCTCTTTAATTTGGGAACTAGTGAGCAGTTTTCCCTTATCATTTAATGGGATTGAACTTCTGATCAGACGAGTTTTAATACTGCATGAGACAACCCTTCCTGTAGAGCGTAAAAGGGTCATGATAAGCAATACCACGCTGACCAACTGACTAAGGAGGAATTGAATCTATTTACCAGAAAGATGGCTTAGGTTATTGATGGGCTACAATACTGTAATTCCCATGAACTATGACTGGACAGCTCTATAAGTATTGAAGATAAGATCTGAAATCAGAGGACAAAAACTATATGGAAAGTAGAATTGCTATTCAGCTAGTCCATGCTGACATCTTGCAGTGTTAGAAGGACCTCTGAGGGCATTTGGTAATTGTTTTCATAAATCTGCCAAATGAATTTCTTCTGTTAGTGTTAATCCTGGAAGAACTAGGGGACTGGGTGAGGATAGGGTCACTGTTGCTTTGTCGACATTGGTTACATAATATAAATATGAAGTCCAACTCAGAGTTGGACCAGGCTTATATGTAAAATAACCAAAGAATGGCAAGAACCATATAATACAGGGAGGAAGAGGATTGAGAATTAGGAAATACCATTGAGGAACACCAGGCAATCCGTTCCAATAGATCAGTGATTTGTTTTTGTCATAAATCCCAATAAGGCATTTAGAGGCCAAATTTTATTCAGTTTAACAAGAACTTACTGACTAGCTACTGTGTGCCAGATGCTAGATTACATGCTGTGGGCATAATAATGAATTTGGCATGATCCTTTCTCTTGAGGAACAGTTTATTTTCCTAGAAAAGCTGACACATTGATAATTTCAATATTATGTCTAAGAGCAGTGATACAGGTGTGCAGAGGCCACCATGGAGTCTGATCCCTCAAGTGAATTTTGAAGCTGGGCAGATAAAGAGGAAAGACCAGGCATGCACAGTAAACAATTGTAGGCATGATATAGAAGAGAAACAGCATGATAAATGGAAAGAAACCTCAAGCGATTTGTCAATACAAGATGAAAATATGAGGCAGAGAATGGCAGGGATGAGGCTTTAGAAAGAGGTAGAGCATAGGTAACTAAGAAGAACATTGTATGCTATTTTAGAAGTTTGACTTTAGTTCTGCATTTAGGGAGAACCACAAAGGAGATTTGAACAGGATACTGATAACTTTGTACTCCTATTTTAGAAGCATTACTCAGATAGTGATGTAAAAGGTGGAGTAGAAGTGGGAAGACTAAAGGCAGGAAGACCAGTTAAGAGGTCTTTGGGTGAGACCAAAGTCTCTGGGGTGAAAGTCCAAACCAAGGAAATTGTAGAGATTCAGAGGAAGGGACAGATTGAAGTAATGCTTTGGTGACAATATGCAGATGATGTTTAATGTTATGTCAGATGGAGTGGTAGAGAAGGAGATATCTATGGTTTTCAAGACTAAGTAGGAGATCTCACTCAAAGTTCAGTATGTGAATAGATCAACATGCAGAGTCCTAGATAGGCAAGCCAGCAGAAGTACTGAAGGAGTTTCTAACACTGGGATTGATGTCTAGAAAGTCCCATTTGGACAGGAAGCCCCAAAGAGAAGCAGGGACAAAGGCAAAGATCAGCGTTTAGGTGCAAATCATGGGAAGAAATGAGAAGTTGCGAAGACACTGACAGAAAATGCGGGCAGATGATCAAATCTCGAGCAGGCAAGTACTCTCAAGATGGAAAGACAGTCATAGAGAATATCAATCACTGTTGATCCCAGATCTTGAGTTAATCATTTTGTGATAGCAAATAAAAGAAAAGCTGGTGTCAGATGCTCTTCAGCATAAGGCAGGATCCTGAGTGCTGTTATTTACAGAATATATTTAATTCTGGAAGTCTAGTACTAATTATTCCCTTAAGATGCAAAAAGGTAAATTTATATGCTTCTTTGGCTGTAACACTTTCTTCCTTCTTGGAATACACACACACACACACACACACACACACACACACACACACATATTCCTTCTTGGAAATATATATATGTATATATTTAAAGAGTAATTAGGAATGTGACATTTTTTTCTACTCAGATTACTTCCTCAGCTTAAATATCACTGAAGAATAAATAGCAAGCAGATTAGATTTCAGTAAATCTACTAATTCTCAAATATTTTATTTGATCAGAACTGTAAACTTTTAAGGTTATATAGATAAGAAATAGACTTCCAAAGTATTGGGGGATTTTCCTTTTTTACTCTGTTTGATATCATTCCAAAGAGTCCCACTTTTAATGGTATAATGTGTTCTGGTATTGCTTTTCCTGCCATTTTTGGAATATTATAACTGAAGCAGCTTCAGAGATCATGTAGTCTAACTTCCTTGTTTTATAGATGAGAAGGAGGCCCTGGGAATTGTTTACCTCATGACATAAAGCTAGTTACTGAGAAGGATTTAGAACCTGGGTCTCTGAATTCTGTGCCAGTCTTTCTTGATTGGTAGTATCAATCAAGAATATAATATAAACCTTGATTTTATGCATATTGTCTTTTTAGTGATACGGATTTTTTTAAAAACACCCATTGTATGAGAAGTATCAGACCCAGTATATTTAATTCTTGTTGAAGGATGTGAATAATCATCTAGCATTTTATCCTTCCAGTGTAGACATCAAAATGAGATACAAATACTCAGGTATCTTGATTCATTAAAGATACTTTAGATTGTGTGTATGGAACACATTCAGTTTAATTGAAGAAAAGCATTTTGTATTTTTATATATGAACTCTTATTATGGAGTTATTTTTTTTCTTCATGATTTTATTCATAACTATGTAGGAAACCAGAGAGAATATTACTAAAAGAGGTTTTGAGGTTGATTTGGGATTGAATTTTGCACTTCAGTTTAATTTTTGTTTTGGTTTCCTGGCACATTCTCAGAAATTGCCATCGTCTTCCTTTACCTTTGGTTTTTCTATTAACATTTCCTCTCAAAATTGTTTTTTGAGTTGTGGCAAAGGAAGTACGGTAGTTAAAAGCAGCAAAATTATGGGCCCTGGTATTATTGCTAACTCTATCAGCTATAATCTTTTTATTCGAATTTTCTATTTCC